TAGACAAACAGACAATAACTAATATTATCATAGGTAAAAAAAAAAAAGATTAAAAAAAAATAAAAAAAATTAAATAATATTAATACCACTTGTATATGTAAAAAAAAGAAAATGTATTTGTCTGAATAAAGGCTTTATTATTACTATTATTTAAAATGAATAAACACAAAACTTGCCGTCAAGTAGAGTAGACAATTTAATTCCACAATCAATAATTGTAGCCAGTGCGAAAGGCAAATTATTCAAATGAGATTCGTAAAAAACTTGAATTCAGTAACTTTTCAACTACCTATTTTATAATCTTCTTATACTTCTAATGAACTCTTATTTACTTCCATAAATAACTGATAAATAAACTCAATAATGTAATCCACTGCAAATAAAACTTGTTTTGTATGGATATTCCCGAATCGTGTGCTGCGATGTTACGACGCCCCCTGCGGATTTAATGATTGTGGACCAATTTAACAACTCAGTTTAGCACACGGCGTATCCCATCAAGTATGTTATCGTCTCTTAATCCGGTCCCAGCGATATCGTAAGCAGAAGTAGTCTTGTAAGCGAAACCAGTTCCACATGCGATCTCACGCACCCTGCACTTCTAGCTAGAGAAAACATGTAATGTTCTGAATCCATTGAAAAAACGTACAGCGGATTTTTTGTACAAATTCAGACCTTGTGAGATCGAGACGAAGGTTGATATTGATGATTGATAGAGTAAGCGTTTAAGTCTTTTACATGTGCGCTGTCAATGTTTAAAGTCACGCATAGCCACGAGAGGTGTCGTAGAGGCAATTATCGCAATTGGCTCGTCGGCCTTACAGCCAAAGACGCCCATCGAGATCTGAATTTCTTAGTGTATAGCGTGGGGACATTGTAATTTGATATGCCAGGAATGACCAACATAGCTCATGCAAGGAAAAGTTGAATTTAGTTATATAGATAGTTTAATGTTCAGAGTTCACCGTTAGGACCAATTTAAGAAATATTATTAGATTTTACGCATTAGATAATTTGTATATTAACTAGTTTTTTATTAAAATCTTTTTTTTTATAAAATTGCTCTAGTCTACTTAAGCACTTATTTTGAGCGGTAACATTATACTTTTTAGTGCCATCAATGTTATTAAAACATAGCAATTTAAATAGTTACAACTAGAAACAAAGTTAAAAGGTATGCAAAGGCTTAAAGAGCTCCAGAAATCATATTCATTGTAGTGATCTTGAATTAAGTTTAATTATAGATTATGTTGGTAGGTAAACAAATCTTATTAAGTCCCTTTGAGGAGCAGTGTGCTGAAAACTATCCGCTTCCCTAACCACATTTCACATTAATATAGCGCCTAGCAGGTCACTTACAATGCTTGTAAATTACAGTCAAAATACATTATGTTTCACTAAAACAAATAGCTTTTGCTGAAAATTAATAGGGATAAAAGTCGTTTAAATCTTAAGACTAAAGAGAGAATTTTTGGACAGCAACCTAAAATAATGTACTCTTTAGTTGACCGCACATAGATACTTTTAAATCTAATACATATTCTCGAATTACAATATCCGCTGCCATAATCCGGCGGCCATTTACGAAACTATTAGACCAAATTCGGGGTTGCACTTTCATGGCTTTAACTATTGACCTCCCAAATAGTGTTTGACACTGAATACCTAAAGTTCATTACTCAAATACCCAGATCCTTTAATTGGATGAGTATACGGTTACGAATAAACAAAGCGCTCACATTTTCTTACGCAACCGTATTTCGGTAATTGGGTTGAAAAATAATCTTTTAAAAATTGTAGAGCTAAAGTAATAAATCTATAGATTGTTAAAAAATTATATCGTATTTTGAAATCAAATTTAAAATTTATATATACAATCATGACTCTTAGCATCATCTGAGCTATTTGCACGTATGCCTTTTTCACGTCACACGATTTCTTAGATACTTCTAAATTTTATGACAATGTCCTCTACATTAAACACATATTCTTTTATGTGCTGTAGAATCTTCTTTTTGGAACTATACGCGTAATTACGAAAACGAGGGTATTTTTAATACATTTAATGAGCTAGTTTTCTTTCTAAAATTGTAATTGAATTGCTTACGAAATGGAGCATAAATTCTATAGCTATTTTTAAACTTAAACATTTCTAATATAGTAGCACTACAAAATTCAAATTAACAATTTCATTTCCCTTTTTAGAATAAATAGATTTATGATTTGTCAAATTATTATAATATTATAAACTACTAGCTGACCCGGCAAACATTGTTTTGCCATATATAAGATTTCTAGGGAATTTCTAGTGTAGAAAAAAAAACTAACTTATTCTAAGCGTGTAAGGGTTTTGTAAATGAGTGAAAGAGGTATGTAGTGCTGTGAACGATGAGGGAATATATAATAAAAATAACAAAACCTCATTCAACCACATAATACCTCATTATAACAAAAAAAATGTCCAAATAAAAAAATATATGTTAAGGGTGGACAACCCTAATCACTTAGGGGTATGAAAAATAGATAGTAGCCGATTCTCAGGCTTACTGAATATGCATAAAAAATTTCATGAGAATCGGTCAAGCGGTTTCGGAGGAGTATGGGAACGAACATTGTGACACGAGAATTTTATATATTAGATTTAAATAAACACCGTATTCGAATTAGCCATTGTTGAGATTAGCATGCACAAAAATTCAGATAAACAAAAGCGTGGCCTAATGTCTTACAAAACATAGATTACGTTAGCAACTCGAGGTGTGTTTATTTCAATTATCAGTCAAGCTACGAATATTACAGACTTTGAGACACAAACCAATTTGTGTCAATATTTGTTGGCTGCTCTTAGGAATCGAATTAAATCCAATAGTTGATTGTTTGACCTATCCAACCGTGAATCGTCATAATCTAACGCCTTAAATACCATAATCGAATAATGCAATACTGATCTAGGGCAGTGCTTTCGAAATAAACTATTATAGTGCTTTTAATTACTGGTGGTAGGACCTCTTGTGATTCCGCGCGGGAAGGTAGGCAGCGGCTTGGCTCTGCCCCTGGCATTGCTGAAGTCCATGGGCGACGGTAACCACTCACCATCAGGTGGACCGTATGCTCGTCTGCCTACAAAGGCTATAAAAAAAAAAAAAAAAAAAAAGATACCACCACCCTGCCTATTTCTGCCGTGAAGCATTAATGCGTTTCGGTTTGAAGGATGGGGCAGCTGTTGTAACTATACTGAGACCTTAGAACTTATATCTCATGGTGAGTAGCGCTTTTACGTTGTAGATGTCTATGGGTTCCAGTAACCACTTGATACCAGGTGGGCTGTGAGCTCGTCCACCCATCTAAGCAATAAAAAAAAATGTTTGAAAACATTCTGGAATTGAAATATTATATAGTGCTAAGTAAATTTAGTGACCTTAACGAATGATAGTTTAAGGTATCGAGTGATATTGAGTCGGCTCGTCACATCGTGTCGTCCAAGCGAGGTCTGCGTGCACCGCCCGGTAACGTGAGTCGGTCACCGGTATTACGCGCGGCGCTCACCGTTTTATAATAACACACCGGCCAACTATTATTATTATTATTTGACAACCATTACTGGTATCTAGCTCTGCCCGCGTAATGCTCTTGTTGTATAATTTAAACCAAACACGCTAGAGTTAATGACGGACTGCGCGCTTTCGGGTTTTTTATTGGCACATTTATGGCAACAGCGAAACTTGTTAAGAACTAAAATTGTTATATATAACCAACCAAATTCATTGTGAAATTAAAACATCATAGATTGATCTATGATCTAGTTAACTTGAGTTAACTTTAATTTTGAAAGAAAAGTTTGAAGTACCTTTAACACAGATGCGCGCAATAGATTAAGCAATTGATAAAATATTTTTCATAATTGGTATGTATTCCCCTTCATTTTATTTTACACAAAAATAAAATTAATTTAGGGAGTATAATATGATAATATTTTCTTTGCTTTTCCTGAGTCGTAGATATAATTAAAAACTATTCTAACGATTTCATTTCGCGTTTTATACTGTTATTATATTATTTCCGACGTTTGGAGAACTTTACAGTTTTCGTGGTCACGGACGACTGAATTTACAGAATCTAATAATTCTCTAACATATTCAAAATGTTAAGTAAATATTATCTGACAATTTTGTACATTATTTGATATTTAAGTGCGCGAAATTATCAGTGTCTATAACATGTCTTTATATGTCCAACTGTTTGGCTCAACACACGGTCGTGAATGCCTTAGGCATTAATAGCAGCATTAGATATAACACATCAGTATACCCTGCCTTCATATCACATATTAAAATAAACGTAACTGAAGCGAGAAATTGCTCAATAAATTTAACCGTTACTCGTAAACGCTTATTGCTGGCGGTTCATATGTTAGGTGTTTTGAATCTTTTAGATGAAGAACAACTAGCTTGATCGTCCGATGCAAACGTTTAAATAAACAATTTGATATTTATTGATAACTAGCTGACCCGGCAGAGTTCGTAGTGCCTCAATCGATAAATAAAAGACAAAAGGAATCCGTCCGATGGGGGACACATCAAAGGACAAACAAAATTGTTATTTTTATTTAATTCCGAGCATTTTCATATATAAATACCTTCTAAACCTTCTCTGGACTTTCACAAATAATTTAAGACCAAAATTAGCCAAATCGGTCCAGCCGTTCTGGAGTTTTAGCGAGACTAACGAAAAGCAATTCATTTTTATATATATAATAATATATATGTATATAGGTATTTAGGCCCAAACTTAGTTCGGTTGATAATGCTTTACGATATAATTTAGAGAAAATGGATTCCCGTTGAGAACGTACTTGTTTCAATTGACAATTAGCTTTTGGCTTAAACGATTATATTAATGGTAATCGAAATTCATTTTCAATAAAAATAAAAAATAAATCTTTGTAACAACATTTATGGCGAGACATCGATAGTAGTATATAGTATAGTATTTCAAGTTACCTTCAGATATAAGCCGTTCGCGTATTTCCCATGCGAATATTGTGGGGTTTTCTCGTTTGTACTGTTCAATCTTGGATACTACAGCAGGTGTAGCAACTTTCGGCTTGCTACCTCCTATAAGACCCGGCGGCCGTAATGTACCTGAAAAGATACTTAAAATATTATTCACCGTACATTACTCGCTCGTATAAGAGGTTTTATTTTGTATTGGCTGTGAATATTGGCATTAACGTTCAATGGAGGCGGTTCTCTGTTTAGTTTGAAATTAAAAATCTTCAATCTTCTTCTAGATTAACATATAAATCGCTGCAAGGCGTAGCAGTTTTAAGAGACGAAGCTTTAGACGAAACTATGCCAGCTCACTAACATTGTTCCGATGTGTCTCCGAAGATCGATCAGTTAAGTTACGACCACCACTGCCACCCCACCATTTCCCCAACAAGAAATAACTAAGGAAGAATTCCTCTAAACCCAAAAAGATCACAACTGCCATAATTTTCCACTAGTAAAACAAAAGCTCTCTAAATAATATATGAAATTGAATGATCGAAGGCATTACGAGCATAATAACAATACAGAAACAACAACAAAAAGACTTGAAATGAAATCAACAACTGAAAAAAAAAAATTAGCATTTTGTTGCAGAATAATAACATAATAAAATTATAAATAATAATAGCTCAATGTATGTAACACTTCATTAAATTTACTGAAACACGTTGATAATGTCATTCCGCTTACTGTGGATAAAATATAAGACTAACTACAGTCCACTCTAAAAAATTATTGAAAACCGAAAAATTGTTTTAGTTTTTCTATGAAATCTGTGTCGATATTCGTGATTCATGAAAGCGGTAAAATTAATCAAGTGCAATGGCACCTGTTTTCGACGCAAAGAGATAAATAAAAGATTTTAAATCAAATTAGAGTCACAAATAAAAATGCCAATAATAGCAACACGCTACCGATTGATGCAATTTCATTGAGCGCTAAACGTGAGTAAACGCAATTTACTTGTCGCGAATCGATTCTCTGTATCACAACCTTAACAGATTTTCCTTCTGAGCTCTTATATTAATGTTCTGAAGGCTGAATTTATGTTTCGAGGGGACATTAAATGACTTGTGTTTTCTTACTTTAAAGGAAGGTGGACGTTCGGTCCTGTAAAAAATCGATAATCGAGCACGGCGGTCAGAATAACAATGAGTCTCAAATTAGTATTTATAATTTCAGGATCATTGACGTCGGGCTAAATGAAACCCGACCGTGCGAGGTCTGAATTTTTAATTCATTTCGCGTTACGTTTCGTGTTTTTGTTTTCAAACATAACGATCGATTAAAATGATGACGAGGAAGTTACGCGTCGATATTATAAAGATTACAAATAATCGCGCACCAATTAGATTCCGAGCTGGTTCGTTTTGTACGAACGCTGCGTATACGCTACTCCATGGCCGGAGTTAATGGCTTAAATTCTCGATAAATAAAAAATACATCGCACAATGGAGTTAGTCATACTTAAGTTAGATAATGGATGAGTGCGTGCTTCAGGACAATTACGTAAAAACTTAACAGCAGCATTCCTGCCGGCGGCGGGCGACCACGGAACGTTTTTGCCGCACACCATTCCCGTCCATACCGATAACACGCTGAATTATTCAACGTATAATTTATATTCACATTTTTGTCAACGCTATTCAAGATGAATTCATAAGGGCCTTTATGTCTTGATAAAACTAAAGCTCACCGCCGAAAACGAGGGCTGAGAAGCAAAAACGGTAAAATAGCAGCACTGCAGGACGACTGCGACTCCATGCCCTAATAGGTGACGAAGTTTCGTTTTAAATTTTACAAAAAGATTCCCAAAGGTATGTATTCTTATACAATCTTTAAATTTGATATTTTGAATTTTAATAATTTACGTAATAGGCAAAACTGTATCAACTTTTTTCTACCAAGTCATGTCTATAAATACAACCGTGGTGCTATCTGATTTTGTCGCGTATACTTTGATTGTATTTACATATTATTCATATGCAAATTGATTATCTGTCAGAACTAGAGTACATGAATCGCGTAATAATAAAACCCTTCTCTTATATAGTTTCTAATTTAGATCTGGGTAGCTTTTTTGCTATGTTGACGATTACTATGATGTAGGTAACTAAAGTTAAGTGGCCATCGGAATCCATATATGCAATCATCGTGAATGCTGTCGCCCAGTTGTGATATGGAACCATTGGTAGAAATGCAGAACTGTAGTATCAAACCATGGCGACTTTAAGAAAAACATTTAATATAGATATTTTAATTGGAAAACTTTTGTAATACCATCAGCTCTACGGGCAGTGCACCTTGCCCACTGCCATTTCAATCTAGCAATCCTTCGGGCTGTGTCAGTTACCTCGGTTCTTCTGCGAATCTCCTCGTTCCTAATTCAATTTCGCAGGGAAAATCCGAGCACAGCCCTCTCCGTTGCCCTTTGAGTGACCCTTCTTATAAGGCCCATTGTCAGCGACCACGTCTCAGTGTTGTATGTCATCACTGGCAACACACACCGGTCATAGACTTTCGTAACTATTCTCAAGAATGTCCACTATTGACTGATAAATTGAGCATTTTTAGTGTGTTTTGTTAATATGTAACTATGTGGACGAGTGTGTCCTTTTATTTTTCTTCCTTTTTTGAACACATATTATGTTTAGTCTGTGCGTTTGTGAATTCATAGGATATATTAAAACCTCCACGAAGGTATAAATTGCTGTCAATTATGTTATTTTAACAAAAAAATTATGAATCGTCTTTTTGATTGATCTAAATAACGCCACTAAAACCGTTACGAAAACAAAATATCATTGTGAAGTTCCCGCATTACTGATACTTTCGAAACATTTTCGTACAATCTCAATTACAGTTTTAAACACCTCAACTGTGTTTCCGTATTTATCGCACCACCAAAATTTTTATTATATTTCTTATCGCTTGCGTTCTGTATCATTTTTTTATTATTTATACATAACTACGCCTCAATGATTGGGCTATTTTTTACTACAAGCGGACGAGCACACGGCCCGCCTCATTGTAAGTAGTCACCGTTAGTTGTGGACATCAGCAATGCTAGGCGCACAGCGAAGACCACTGCTGATGCAACCAAGCTGCTAGTTACTCATTTTCCCCACTACTATCTTTGAACTCACCATCTATGTTTATGAACCAACTAATTACGCCACTTAGTAATCAATAAATGTATCTTTCTCAAGAATGCTACATATAATTAAAGATAAAAACTTTTTATTATGTAAAATGATTTTCAATTCAACAGCTGAGAACATTACAAATCGAATTGTTTCTCTTTAATCTGACATTGCCTTTCACCTGTTCCGCTGTAACTATTGAAAATCCATATCGCCATTACCAGTAGAGTGCCGATACTCGAGCCGTTCTCTATTGATTGATAGCTAAATTGCGGCAGGCCGGCACACCGATCATTTTACGATAATTAAATCGGCTAGAAACGTAATCGCATGACCGGGGCCAATTATTGGCATTGCCTAGACAGAGGCGGATCGTGTGAGGCACTGAAAACGCTGCAAAATATGTATTATTTGCGTGAAAACCGCGCGTGTGCTCCCGGCGCGATCTTACCTCTTGAACACGACCACTTTAAGGAATTTAAAAAAATACAAATACTTGTGTGTGTATGTATGTGTGGTACATGATGAAAAATTAAAATTCTTGTAATTGTTTAAGCTGTTCAATATTTGGAGTCAAAGGCTAGTAGTCATTAGCTTACGTACATTCCTATTTCATTTAAAACTTTATTGCAATATTTTGAATAAAACTCAGTCTACTATTTTTAAACTTAGGCAAATGAAACTTTCAAATAAAAATTAGAAAAGTCTTCACCGTTTCATTACATTGGACATCATTGAAACTTAGGGTTCCAGTCACAAATAGTGTAACGCCATCTTCAAATTTCTTCATGATTTCATTAGATTGGCACTTAGGGTTCCGGAGCCAAATAGTGTAACGCCATCTTTACTATTTCATTTCATTCAAAAAGCGTATTTTATGGCCATATTAGCCAAAGACTGTTTATTGTAGCTATATCATTGCAAATTACAATAAAATCGGAGGACATCAGTATTACTACACAATAGCTACATATATCACGTGGCCGTCCATCTTAAAATATATGTATTACAATATAAAAGTCATTTATTGGACTATTTATATTATGAACTCATTATCGAAAAATAAATTTAATTGGCAGCGAAAAATTCTAAACAAACATTGAAAGTATCAACCAAAATTGTTTTCAACAAGATAACATGTTACATGGGTTAAAACTAAAAAAAAACGGTAATGCTTAATTTTTTATTTCCGTCCCGAACATTTTCGTTTCAACTACGGAACCCTTTATTGATTGTTCCCCAACATGCACAAATCTATTCCTTCATTCTACTTATTTGTGTAAATTCACTATCAAAAGTTGTAAACGATCATCCATCATCGATCCAGTTAAGTGTAAATCGAAGACACAACACTCAACCAAAACGAAGCCTAGTAATTTTCTACACAACCCACAATAATGGTTTAAACTCATTAAACGGCTCCTCTATAAAGAACCTTTTAAGCGACACAGAAAAGGCCAGAATCGAGTTAATTAAATTTGTATTAGGGGTATTTCACATTACCCTATGACTGGCGCTAGTGTACCTCCGCCAGTAATGCACTGTCATCCGACTAATAGATCAAAATCTTAAGCGGCAAAGTGGGCCCGGATAGCCCGGTTTATTGAACATAATGCGATACGTGTTAACGATGCCATGATTCGGTGATTAATCGATTTTTCATTTGGAAACAGCCCGAGCCTGCTATCAAAGGAGCAGTCTACAAAAATCACACTAAACAATGATGATATAAAATTATGCACCAAAATTTGTTAATACACTTCTTTTATTGAAAAAACTGATCTACATAGATATTTTAAAGCCCTCTAAACGTTAGACTCAATGAAATCGATTTTACAGTGATGTGCTAAAGATCAAACATTAATAAACAAAATAATTTGAGGGCAATCACACATAAACAGCGTTTGATGTTTATTTTAAATGTAAATACATACATACATGTTTTTTTGTTAAATAAAAAACAACGAAAACAAACTTCTATTCTTTTTTTTTTATTGCTTAGATGGGTGGACGAGTTCACAGCCCACCTAGTGTTAAGTGGTTACTGGAGCTCATAGACATCTAAAACGTAAATGCGACACCCACCTTGAGATATAAGTTCTAAGGTCTCAAGTATAGTTACAACAGCTGCCCCACCCTTCAAACCGAAACGCATTACTGCTTCACGACAGAAATAGGCAGGGTGGTGGTACCTGCCCGCGTGGACTCGCAAGAGGTCCTACCATCAGAAAAAAATCATTCATTCATTCATTCATTATTCACAAAATAACCCGCAAACTACTCTTCAACATGCCAGCAGTGTGTCGAGACATTCAGAAAATTCACAAACAAGACAAGAATAAGTTTTACTAAAACTAATTTGACTTAAAGGAAAGCCGCTATAAAATCATCCGTTCATTACTTAAATCCACCACGTCCATAACATATTCAATAAAGCGATCGTCATGTCACATTCACGCGAACGTTTAAAGGCTTAATAGCATTACTATATCATATAATTACTGCTACCTGTAATTGAACTAGCCAAGTCGATTTCTAAAAACATCATGTCTTTGAAATGGAACATTAAAAAATCAAATTAACCGCAGGAACTGGAGCATAAAAAGAAAAAGCATCGTTTTTGTCGAAAAAATGTCAACCCCGATAATTCAGTTTTGATTATAGGATGAATGCTTAAATATGGATTCATTATACGCTGCGGTGATCCGCAGGCAATCATCTTGAGTAGGTATCATTAGTGGACAATCAAATTTGACTATAAAGAAACAAAATAAGAGGTTAAATATGAAATTATTCGCTTTATGATTTCATTGCTTCTATACATAAAATATAATAACAGTCTTTGCGTAATTGATTTAGAAAAGTTAAATAGATTTTATTCTAGCAATAAATTCATAAAAAATAAACAAATTGTTGAATTTTCACAAGGTCCCGAATCCCGGTTCAAATTATGCATTTTAAAAGATTTATGTGTACAGAACTGAATCTTCGGAAATTTGTCCAAGAAACTAAGTCTTTAAAACCTTTGAACAAAATTCACTTAATAGTTCATTCATATACACAAACATAAATGATTTTCATAAAATCACTCGCACAATGTAAGAAACTTCAAATCGACAATACTTCAGTATTTGACATCTTTGATAATCATTATATTTGAAATCTGTTAAAGTGCTCATATTGCATTCATAAGCCGTTTTAAAACTAAGGCCAGCCAAGCAACGTTATTTATACGGACTCATTTCCATGCCGTCAGCTTGAAAATTGTTTGGGCTAGATAATGACTCGCGAGCTAAGGCCTATGTACTTGTACGTGTATTAAATACGTAAGTGGTTGTACATGACAGCCCTGGGCGGTTCCTAGCCAGGCTTCCGTGGGAACCTGCCACGTGACGTTACAAAATCACCACCAGCGGAAATTGATTGACACTCAAACTACGGCCCTAAGTTAAGGAACTTACGACCGATATAACCTAGATTCAATTAGATTACTTCTGTCGTAGANAAGGCTATGTACTTGTACGTGTATTAAATACGTAAGTGGTTGTACATGACAGCCCTGGGCGGTTCCTAGCCAGGCTTCCGTGGGAACCTGCCACGTGACGTTACAAAATCACCACCAGCGGAAATTGATTGACACTCAAACTACGGCCCTAAGTTAAGGAACTTACGACCGATATAACCTAGATTCAATTAGATTACTTCTGTCGTAGAAATTCATACCGAACTATTCCAATATAAAAAAAAAATAACTTTAGAATGAATACGCTTTGAGGTTTCGAACTCTTTTGTAAGGAAACGCAGGGAAGATAATGATAGAGCGTGCAGTTCGAAATAATCGCATGGGTGCCTTCAATATCTTTCGTTCACGACTCTTAAACAAATACAAAGTGCTCCACGTGTTTTAATAATACCCCTCCAGAGATGTAATTCAAAAAATTAATCGCATTCGACCAAGTGTTTGCGATGTCATGCCAAACGTACGCTTCAGTTAAACTAACTATGATATTACACAGCAATAATTAACGCCCTATACATTGTTTACCTTAATCAAGGAACGCTTTAATTACAGAGGCCCTTCAAAACTTCTGGAGACTAATTTCAGGTTAAAGGCCGAGAAAAAAAATCGAAAATAATTCATAATTACAAAACATTTTCGGACACACAATAATGGTGCAGGTGCAACGAGGTTTTATCGTCCTAAAAAAAATATCGGAGTGTCTCAAAATACAAAAGTAATAATTACAAAGGCGAGAACCCCAATAATTTAAGGTTGCGACTGTGAAAAATCACCGCGGATAAAATAGTTCTCACATCAGCGATCGAAGCAGCATTGGGAGCCAATGCTCGCGGCGAATCAGTCTCAGCAGCGCAGGCTCATACGTCCGCGCTCCGGTGGCTTATAATTAACACGCTGCAAGGTTTATGAATCGATTACAATCTAAGTTTTCGTCAATAGGCGCTTTCGTCGGTACACTGCCGATGCCTTATCGTTGATTAATTACGATTGAGATTTTTTTGCCTTAGCCTACTATTAATTGGAGTTAAATACAGTTTGTTGCCAAATAACGGATTGGCTGGAACATTGTTTATTAATTTATTCCTGGATCTATAGTGGCGTGGTTTATGTGCCAAATGGAATCATAATACAATAAATAATGACTTTTTTTTCTTAGCTTTAAACCAAAGCTTGGGTACTATATTTGTATATATAAGCTCTTTTTTTAATACGCTTTTATTAGCTTCAGACGTATGTGTGTTTGTAACGGAATCTTTGAACATGATTTTGACCCCCTTTAAAACGTCGGATTAACTCAAAATTTGGTATACTTGTTAAGGACCGACGACAATTAAATACAAAAAAAAAATTGAAAAAAAATTTGAACAAATTGAAATTCAACTAAAAAATGAAAAAAAAATTTTAATAAATTTGAATTGAAAAGTAAGAAAAAATGATTTTATTGTAAAAAAAAGCGTGGGGTGCGCGGTATCAGTCGTTATAAACATTTTATGAACAGATATGAGTAGAAGGGTTATTTTGATAATATCCTGAAAAGCATCCCACGCTTTTTTACAATAAAATCATTATTTCTTACACTATTTTTAATTCATATTGATAGAACTTTATTGTCTATTTTTTAGTTGGATTTTCTATAAAAGCGTATTTTGTTAGTTTTTTTAAACTATTGTTTATTTTAAGCGCATATTAGCACAAATTAAAAGGATTAATAACTTCACATCACACATATCTGATATTAAAAGTCCATAGATGTGTCAAAGTGAATGCCACCTTGACACATGAAATCAAAGTCTCGATTGCATTGCAGGTGATTCAATTGCAGTCTACTAAGCTCCCGATATATGTAGGCAGGATGGTGGTACCCGTACGGCTTAACAATATATTACAGGTATTTACGCAAAGTTATAAATTTTTCAGTTTTCAATTTACTTGACAGTGTTATTTCTTCATCGTAGTAGAGTTTTTTAGTACAGAAAAAAATTACCCGCTACATAATTAAACTGTATTTTGTGATGCTCGATGTCACGGATTTTATACGCGAATACGATCTATATAATTTAACGGCGAATAGATTTACTATATGAAAAAAATCGGTTGTAGCGCGCCGTAAACATTATTAAAACTACTGCTAAAATTTAATCATCTTACGATTTAAACTCTTTAATTAATATTTTTTAATATAATAGGTTGGGGAATAAGTCTTTTCGTATTATAGTATGTATTAACTTGTAATAAAATCTCTTTTGCTATACTATTTGTATCTGGCTGGTTTTGGTATCATTAAAAGTTTAAATTTGAAAGAAGATAATTCCAAATTCAAATTAGGAAAATGTGTGACTTTTATTTATTTTTCTTACTGTCAAGATGAGTGAATCTAATGAAGAAATGCGATACATTTTAAAATTTTACTACAAAAAGGTAAAAATGCAACGCAAGCCGCGAAAAAAATGCAGTGTCTGTGAGAGTAGCACAAATTTGGTTTAAGCGTTTTCAATCCGGAAATTTTGATGTCAAAGATGCACGTCTCTCTTGTCGCCCTATTACGGATAAAATGGATGCCATTTTTGAAAAAGTGGAGCAAGATCGGCATATCAGTAGATACGACGTAGCTGAAAAACTGAGAATTGACCACAAAACAGTTTTGGCGCATTTGAAAATAACTGGGTACACAAAAAAAATCGATATTTGGGTACCTCACCAGCTCACTGAAAGAAACCTAATGAACTGTGTACTCATTTGTCATTCTTTACTATGACGTAATGAAACCGAACCATTTTTGAAGAAGCTGATAACTGGTGATGAAAAGTGGATTACGTACGACAAGAACATGCGAAAAAGGTCGTTGTCAAAGGCCGGTCAGGCTTCACAGACTGTAGTGAAACCTGGGTTAACTCGCAACAAGGTGATACTGTGTGTGTGTTGGGGTTGGAAGGGCATTATTCACTATGAGCTGTTTATTCTTCTGTCTATCTAAAAAACTATCTATAAATGTAAGATACAGACGTTATAATCCCAAAACCTAAGCTTTCGTCTTATGTCATTTTTGGTCACATTGAAATCGTTGGCTCACACAATCAAAAAATTTCAAAATACTGCTTTAAGATATTGTAATTTGCTATTACAGGTGATTTATATTATCTGTGTTAAGGCCAAATTGAGAAAAATATCAGACGTTACAAATATTATGTATAATATGAAAAAAATTGTCTTAATTAATAAAATAATAAACTATATAAAAAATAAATTTAAACTCTTAATAAGACTACAGACTGGAAACTTCAACATTGTTCTATGGTTTTAAACATAAAACATTTATAGTCAAACCATAATTTTAATCTGACAGCTCTATATCTCCGAACAATCTACAAAGAAAACTCACCAAGCAACTTCGTGACAGCACCTTGTTGAGACAAAACATGGTGGGCGATATCATAATGCCTTAAGCCGAATCTGGAAAGCTCTAGAAGCCGTTGCTGTGACAGTAATGAAGACAGGGGATGAGACGCTGCACCAGGGTAGAGAGGGGTCCCGGATCCGCCGCCGGCACCTCCCGTCGACGATGACGGAGATACTGGTACTGTTAACAAAAACGACTAATTAATCTTAATAATATTTTTAAAATGCATTGGATACCAAAAAACTTTATAAAACATTTTAACACAGATTTTTAATAGATTTTGTTTTATATTTTTATTCATTTGCTAAAAGTGTAATAACCATTATTGAATTCCTTAAAATAAAATATATTTATTTCATGATAAAACGGACATAAGAAGAAACAGTTTTATGTCATAAAATGATAACTTTAAAAATGTATGAAATAAAAATCGGTAGCGGATTTTACGAGTTCTACAAAGTAAACAGAGAGACAAATATAATGGAATTATAACTGTGATTTGGCACGATTATGTGTGTATATCGAAACGTCGAAACAACTTTTTACCGTGTTTCTATAATGAGAGAGCCTCGGGCGTTACTTTCTGTGAATCCACATTACCGAGGCCGGTAAATCCGTGCGCATTCATTATGTGCCTCGCATGATTGCAACGTGTCAAAGGCTTAGAAGTCAAGTTTATTACAAACTCCGAAGACAAACTACAAAGCCGCACACTCGTTGTTTACCGCATGCTATCATTTCCCACGATGACAGACCTGGCGTTATGAATCCATTCAAAATAACCGTGTACGTATTAGACGAATTAAAGAGCATAAGTTCTACTGCAAAACATAAGTAAATTATTCTCATCCAAAACAACACCCTTAATGCCACCAATCTGATAATTTAATTGTGAAATAAAATTTTACGAGCCAAACTCGATCCGTTCATGGCTAAAATAAAAATTAAAATGTTTCTCAGCATAAAGGATTCAGTGGATATATAAATTTAATATATAAATTTGAGTGAGCGAGTACATTTTATTATATTCACGCAATTTGTCGTTAACATCGAACAGATACGCTACACCGATCGTAACAATGCTTTCTTATGAACACATCGTAACAAATTCATTTATAAATTAAGCTATTAACTTAATATACCTTAATTTGTTTATCAGGTTAAGCATCAAAATTAATGCAACTGGCATAACTTGGCCATAACTTAACACTTTTTATTAGCGAGTCAATAAGGCGATTTCGTCAACGAAAGTATTATTGGACTTGACTTTTTGTTCGATCGAAACACACTCTTAAAAATATGCCGTTAAGAATTACATTGATATACTGGATCATCGCGCCAAGGGCTCACTAGTGGTTTCAACGTATAATTTCTCGTGTAATCGCTTTAATAATGAGGAAAAAAAGTGATATTATCTGCCCACGGTCAATAAATTAACACCGTTTAGAGCAAAAATGTACATTCTTAGTGTCGCTACTATTATAAATAAATTGGATTCGAACGGATAGAGTTTTAAGGAGTTCGTGTCGTTGAGTGCGTGTGTGTTTTTATTAGGGTGCGTGAGCAGTGAGGCCTTATTAAAATATTTCGAGTGGAAACTGGAAGGACCACTTAGTGATGCGCGGGAGTTTCACGCCTGAGCTGATACAACATTAAGTCGACAAGATAGCTTATTTGTGCTGAGCCCAGGATTAGTGGCAATAAATCACTGATTAGAATGTATTGACTGGCGTTGACTTTGGCCCGTTGTCGCCCCATTTATTTATTGTCCGTCGGTTTTTAAGCATTTACAACCTAATTTCATCTATTTGTGTACTGTTTAACGAACGATAGTTTATTTGCTTAATTAGCTTCGTAACTAGCGCAGTTTGGTTACAATATGTAGCGTGTTTCTTTACCACATTTTTTTTTGGTTTCTTGGTGAACTTTAAGACTTTTAGTTATGAAAAACTACTCGACTATTTAATATAACTAAACAAAGAAATGATTTTGTTGTTTGAAGTATACTTACGTTGAGGATAAAAATTAGGATAATAATATAATTTACAATTAAATTAATTGTTTAATTCGGTATTTTAATTCCAATTTACATTGCTATTAATGACAATTAAAGCTATTTCATAATAATCATTTTCACTGTAATTAATGACCAAATCGTTTCTGTACATTTGAGATAAATTCAAATATTTATTTAAATTGACAATGACAATTTAATACAAGTCACAAGGACTCGTTCATTGCAAGTTCTGTTTGTTATAAATACACCTGCACCGTACGCAAATAAAAATGTAAAGAAACATGCATGAGAGAGTACTATTAGGCGTTCATCCGAATATAAAACAGTTTAATGCAAAAAATGCTTTTACCGAGTCTTCCAGCCATTAATGCCATCACGCACCGTAAAATTGCCACCTTCTGAGCAAATTTCAATACAAGATCAAAAATTCACTTGACTATACGCAGCGAAGCAGGTACTGCGTCCGCCACTATTGTTTTAAAAATTCAAATGAATTATGGATGTATTGCTAAAAACACTCTCCTGTATTATCATCGAAGTATCAGCCATTGAAATTAAATTGTGCGTGAAATTATCACTTACCTTAATAAAGCTTTGATGTTTCTTTTTATTCGCACAATATGTGCATGACGATTAAAACGTATTTTAAATTTAACGATATGTAAACTTGAGGCGGACAAACTTCGATTTAATAGTACAACTGGTAATTTCGATAAGTAATTAGTCTATTGTTGGATTTATTCTCCAAGATATTGTCATTTCCGTATTTTTCAATTCAAAAATACATTTTATTCTTTAATATGTATATGTATATTCATTGGTGTAAATGTTAAATCATTTCTAAGATATTGTTAAGATTTAAGGTTTCCAGTCTATGTTCCTTTTTCAATATCCATATTTACTGCAAGATCAGTGTTGTGTTTTATTACAAGAATCCGGCAATAATGTTCAATTTTGAATCCAAAGGACATTGACCATTTTATATACTGTCTTTGTTGGAAAATCGATTACCGAGAAATAGGTTAGCTCATTACAGAAAATTTTAGTTGAAAATAATCTTTAATCAAATATGTTTGACCTTTTTTCGTCCTCAAATTATATCGAACCGCCACTTTTTTTTAAATCACTGACCATTATATATCCACTACTTCCCACTGTTGCTCTTGTAATTTTTTACTTCTTATATAACTAACTTTCAATCCTGGATAGAGCATGTGGAGGCTTAATTTATTTTGTATGTATGTTAATTATATTTACTGTTCTACTTGAGTAAGCGGGCGCATGGTCCTACTAGTGCTAAATAGACGCAGAGGTTAATCTATAAAGATATACTAACGCGATTTCACACGAGATCAATGTTTCAACAGTACTTCGAAGATACAAATTAAAATCACCCTTCGAGTTACAACGCAAGACTGCCGTACTACCGAAATTCGATGGATGAAACAGATATCAACTCATGCGTACACCAGTCATTACGCAAAATTATAAACTTTGTAATTTTCTTTATTGTACCATGACGTGATTCCTTCATAGTGGAATTAGTTACACATTCACTAAGAACAAAATGGGATTTGCTCTGTTTTAATATGATTGATAATTCGATGAAAAAGCAGCATGATAGTAACCAGCATCTACTAAATCGAAGGCACTTCAAAACTTCCGTGAATCTCAACTAAATTAAGTAAAGAACCAAGTAATTTTTGAGAACTTCGTTTTTAAGCACCGTTGTAATCAAAAACCCAATAGACTATAACGCGACGATAGCTTATTGTCGAGCAGTAAGCTATGGAGAGGGCTATGCTTGGTATTTCGCTACGAGACCGAATCAGAAATGAGGAAATCCGTAGAAGAACCAAAATTGCTGACATAGCTCGTAGGATTAGTAAGCTGAAGTGACACTGGGCAGGTCACACAGCGCGAAGGTCGAGCGGCTGATGAGGCAGAAAGATCCTCGAGTGGAGACCACGTACTGGCAAGCGCAGTGTAGGACAGCCACTTACCAGATGTACCGACAACTCAGTGAGAATCTCTAGGTCACTTTGAATGCAAGTGGCAATGAAGCGGTCGCACTGGATATCAATTGGAGAGGTCTACGTTCAACAGTGGACAGTGGACAGGCTGAGATGATGATGATATTGGGATAGACTGCGATTAGACTTAAAAATAACAAAGTTACGTCTGCACGCTAAGTAACATTACGTAGAAAAAGTACGAAAGCAAAAATATGTCGACCGCAAAGCTAAGTATGTCTTTTACGTGCAAAATAAGAATGTTCGAATCACATATGATCGCAGATAAGTTAAGTTTCTAAGAAAAATAGTTTAAAGAAGATGTAATAATATTTTCTTTATTGCTTAGATGGGTGAACGAGCTCACAGTCCACCTGGTGTTTAGTGGTTATTGGAGCCCATAGACATCCACAACGTAAATGCGCCAGCCGTCTTGAGATATAAGTTCTAAGGTCTCGAGTATAGTTACAATTCTTCGGTGTTAAGAATTGTTGATGTTAGGTACAAAAAAAATATGTTTTATTACTATAGGTATTTCAATTGTATTTGTTCGATGTGAAAACATTACAAGCTGAGTGTTTTAGGGACGGGTATACCTCAGCTCTAAATCATGTCTTCGATGTTATGAATATCTTCGATGGAATGACTCTGTTTTGTTTCATATTTTTATATATATAGAGTTCAAAATTAAAATAAAAACACAAAAAATTTCATTACTCATCAGTGTCTTACAGAAAACCTACCTATTGACATTTATTCGAACAGTTGCGACTACATCAGGATTGACTTACACTTGCGTCACATGACACCCTCTCATGTGAACAAGTGTTCCAAAGTTTATTCATGAACACTGTGTGTGAATGTTTTAGCCGACTCAACGGCTCATTAATACATTGTCCCCATTGTCTACTAATTAAGGAGCATCGTCGCAGTTTACAAAGCCAGCTGATTATTATGCGTGATCACCATTTAAATGTTAATTAGATTTATTAGCGCACTTGATCAAACACGCTCCGATAGAAACGTTAACATGAAAAAAACATTCCCCGCGGCAACGCGCTCAATAAAAATATTCAAACTCGTGAGTTAGATAATTGACGTGAAAATATTTTATACGAACACCAATGAAATTATAATATCTTACAATAAAT